AGACTTTGATGCCGTCTAGAAACATTTTTTCATCGCCAATCAAGAGAGGCGAAAGTGCTGCATCAACACTGCTTATTGCAGTGAAATAGATTGATAGACGTGCTTTTATTTGCGTCGTGCGACGCTTCTCGGCTTCCATCACTGATTGCAGTTTCGGAGGATAATCCTGTGCTGGTGTCGAAGCTGTGCCTTTTAGAGCTGGCACAGTGAATTTTCTTGCAGAAGTTTCTGCTTGTTCTTGTGACGGGCTAATGCTTTCGGTCAGTGCACGGAAGCAATACCACAATAAAATGTTTATATTTTCTATGCAGAGCAGAAGCGGTCAGCTACAGCGCTTTATGACTACGAAAGCTATTCCAGATCCCTTGGCTTTACATGTGCTCTGCTAGTACTTCAGTACGCTACGAAGAATTACCTACTGGCTTAAGCCTACGAAACAAGGATGGGCCCTGTAGTCATACACAGCCCAGCCAGAACCCAGCCGGGCCTAGCCCGTAACAGTTCTGTAGTCTTTTCTCGGACGACTTCCTTTCCTTTCCTTGAAGTGCTTGCATCTGGGGCAAGCATGATGGGAATGTTGGTCCAATTTTCACTGACCTGACAGGCTCAGAATCAGTCATCTCTTTATCGGGAAGGTATGGAGACTTCTCTTCGATAAAGGCCTCACTCGCAAGCATGCTTGATATTTTTTGCGGGAGCCCTCGGGCGGACTCTCGCGTTGTCCAACATTGAGTTGGGGAGCTTTTTTCGAACAGATGGCATGATGAAAATGCTAGTGACTCGATTACAATGTATCAAAGGAATGCGACGAGCGCGAGAGGGGGAAAGGGTGAATATTCGAAATTTCGAATTTCGAAAAATTGTGGGTGTGTGTGTGTTTATTGTACAACTTGAGTCTTAAAGTATCTAGCACATTGGGCTCACCTCTGACCCAGGTCACACCTTGTAAAGTGCTCCTTGCCTCTTATATAACTCGAAAGATCAGTGATATATTACCCGTGATGAATAGCAATTCAGCTCAGTGTTTACCCGTGGAATTCAGCCACCTTTTCCACGGAACCTTATGGAAGGAGGTAGCAATGGCTTTAAGAGAAGTGAAGTTCGTGAGTCATACTCTTAGGATTTTGATCAATGGACGGACTTGAGGATATTCTCTAGTATTCTCAAGTGTCTGAATAATATGGAGATTGTTATAATTTCCTATTGTATGAATTGCTTGAGTTATCTACGTGACAGGACCTTCTTCTATATACATGAATAAGGGGGTTCTGCACACTAGTGGATGTTCCAACATCTGTCCTTGTCTAACCGAGAAAGGAAGGATGTGAGAGATCCTAGCGCCAATATATGCCATTAGGAATCTATTGGGAAATACTATGTCATACCAATGAGTGATGATTTAGGTCAATCATATCCCATGGCGCATGTGCACGTTATTCTAATGTGAACAGTTTATTGTAATGCAGTCATGTTACTTCCTTAATTACAAAAAGCCCAACTGGAGGGCAAGACTGAACACCTGTACACGGTGTCCTCTACGAACCTGGGAGTGAAATATTCTCCCAGAGCCAATTTCAGTCAAATTTCGCAATATCAAAGAAGTCAGCCTACGAGGCAAAAATTCAAATTACTTCACCATGTCAATCTTTCACTCCCAAAGAGTCCGATTCTCAACTAAACTTCATCGATTCTACAAGTACGACCTAGTACATCCTCATCACAATGACCATACCTCTCGTCGACTTTCTCTGGCCTAGACCACCAAATACATGCCCACGCCGTTATTTATACCCGACGGAGGAAGCAAAGCGTGGTGCACAAATCTGGGATATAGCTCTTTAGGATGGACGTGAGAGGGATCAGGACAAGTTCACAAGATGAAACAAAGGAAGGATATAACCTCGAAGGGCGTGAGATTCCGAATTTTGGCAAGGAGTTTTACGAATTGAGCTTTGTGCGCGCCAAGACTTCGCTTGCGAGAGTGCAGCTGACACTATAAAAACATGCAAACGATGGAAGGTGTGGTGATCCGCCTCCTGGTGATGTTCTCTGGTATAGTTTGAGTAGCCTGGGCACCTACTCCACTTGGGAAGGAGACATCTCAGATTACATTTCGCGCGGAGAAAAGTTGATGGATGACGGAGGCATGTCTGGATAACTCAGGGTTTTTGAGATGTTCCCCTGAGTGGGTATTCACGGATGAGGGTTGACTTGGGGTGAAGAAAAAGCCACCATAACTTCGCAGTGGTACTGGTAAAGGAAATCCGACACATGAGTGCTCTATGTTTAAATTGAGTCACCTATTTTCTATTTTCTCTCGGATATGGTGTCATAGCTAGATAGCTGCATACGCAATTAAAATCTGATGAGTAAACATCAAAAAAATAATTACTGTTAGAATATAGAATAATTGGGGCTATCAAGTAGGCCACGTTGTTGATACGCACGTGACTACAAATTCTGTACTTAGTTTTACTTCGGTAGTTACTTGAATCAATGCGCTCTACAACCTCAATGACTGAGAGGTCATTATTTCCTTAATAAATACACTAATTTGGCACCAGACTCTTTGTTTTCAGATTTCCTAACGTTGTGCCGGCGCGCAGCACGTGGTTTGATATATCACATGGAGGATGACTCATGCTAAGAGAAAGCTACGCGACGTGCTAGCGCTCTGAGGAGCCCAGCATATTCCACGAAGTCTGGAACACAGTAACCTACGCCTATCTTTATTTGTGTAGGGCTGGATAGTGCAGTGGTACACCATTCAGGCCGTTCTCCCAAGTAGATTCTGGGTAGCTTGAACACCTATCCCAGTTAAGGCAAGAGAGAGCTGGTTCGCAACCAGTTAAAAGCACACATCACACTCTCTCGCGATGACATTATGATTGTGAGAAGATGTAAGCACACCTGGATAACCAGAGGGTTTTCACGCTTGTCCCTGTCGTGGGTGTGCACGGAAGAGGTTATACGCCGTAAATGATAATTTCGAGTGGTATCTGCTAATGAATTCTGAGTGTCCTAAACGTAAAATTGTGTCATCCTACTTGAAATACATAACGTCCGATAATACCTGCACGATCCTCAAGGCGCCGAATCAGGAAAATTGAACAATTTGTTTATACATGTATGTTACAGAGAAGCGAGTTCTTCCAATGTGTCACTCAAGTTAATTAGAGTAGAAAATGTACAGTGCCTCTGCGATATAAAATGTTAACCTCGAAACTGGGATGTTTAAGGGATTAGCCCTGTAGGCGCAGTTGGGCTAGCTTGTAACAGGTTAGTATGTCTCTCCTCAATACCCCGCTTGCCATGAAGTATGGTCCAATCGTCTTGTTCTAACAATCGCTTAGAGAGACACATTTTCATCGACATTTTTGACTGCACAACCCTTCATCATCAATACCACTATCAATTCATCCTCTATTCTAGCAGGCAATGTCTCTCGAAAAGTCTGCTTCAGAAACTAAAGTTCGTAAGCATCTAACTCGCGATCAATGTATTGAAATAAGAACATTAAGAAGACTTGGCTTGACATTACAACATATATCCGACGAACTTGGCTTCACAAGAAGGCAAGTGCAACTTGCGAGTGCTCAAGAAACTGAGACTCCTATGCCTCGCAAATGACCCTTACCAAAATTAAGTGCAGAACCAGTTGATGAGCTTGAGGCTCTTGTCAGGGAATCTTCTGAAAATCGACAGACGTGCTATTTGGAACTAGCAATGGGACCCTTCAGCCACCGGGGATGCAGTGAGGGTTTAATTTCTAATGCACTCAAAAAAAGATTACAGCAGATGCATTGCTCGGAAGAAGCCTCTGTTAAGTTTGGTTAACATGCAAGACAGATGTGTAGCAGTGATAAAGGAAAACGAAGGGTACACAAAGTATTAGCATGGAGCAGAATAATACAAAACACGAAGTACGCTTTCAATTTAGTTGTGAGCCATACTGAGGGCTTCGATGTATAGTTTTGTAACACAGAGCAATTATTTTTGAAATATATGTGCATTTTTAGAGAATATCAATTGATTTTTTTGATTTTTAATTCTAAATGTGGACTATTGTACTTTTGTTTTGGTGTTGAAACCCGTCCCCACTAATTTAGACTTTCACGGAATATCATTGGATAGTACCCCTGCTTGTTAAACTAGTCGACGAACTAGACATGGGACTGCATGCAGACCATACTAATCAAGGCAATGTGTACAGGGATCTAATCCCAGTCATTTTGACAATTGTACTTTTGCCATCCATAAGAGACTGTATCTACATGACTGTGTGTGTTTATTGTGCTACTTGAGTCTATGACTATCTAGCACTGCATCTACATGAGATACGTGGGGAAAAGTCCTTGTAGACTGTGACTGTAAAAGATTATGTTGGGAATGCTACCATGGGGCATCCAAGCAATTGTAGTTTGAACTGCGTGGTTTAGTGGCGTTGATGAAATTTGGGTGAAATTGGAGTTCTTTTGACCCACTTTTCGAAGGCAAATACGCCATCTTTCCAGCCTAAACTCCAGCGGACATCTGAGGGAAGGAGTCGGAGTCTGCCGAGACGAGCAGCCTTAAACTCAGTCAACACCTTACCGCAAATCTTGCCTAACCTACTCACACTACTTCGCCTCTCATCCCTTCCGTGTAGCCTCGTGCATCTTCTTTGGCTTGACGATGCGCTAAGTAAGAAAACGTGATCAAATGTCAAATTAAATGACAAGGGCTCAGGAACTCAATAAGGGTCTGGGTGAGAATGACAAAATATCTCAATGAGTGTGCCCGGATAGATAGGGATTAAGTAGTCTATCGGAAACTAACTTGCATCATCTCTTGTTGATAAGAGAGATAAATCTGAGATTCCTTTCGGCCAAGTTGAGCTTAGCTCCAGATCCGCCCATTCTCGAAGCTAGAAGAAACTTCTATGCGTGACCTTGAGCTGCCAGGTTTCTTTCTACTTTCAACTCCTGCCATATCCTGTGATTTATCTGCTGTTTTCAGAAATGTCGACTGCCGTAATAAATGCTGACGATGAATTCCTCGAACCTTCCCTCAGGTCAATCCTCGATCAAAAGACTCTTCGATGGATCTTTGTTGGTGGCAAGGGAGGTGTAGGAAAGACAACTACTTCTTGCTCCCTTGCAATCCAACTAGCCAAAGTACGAAGGTCTGTTTTACTCATATCGACAGATCCGGCACATAATCTATCAGATGCATTTTCTCAAAAATTTGGAAAAGAAGCCCGTCTGGTAAATGGATTTAAAAATCTAAGTGCCATGGAGATAGACCCGAACGGAAGCATTCAAGAGCTCTTAGGTCAGGCTGATGAGGGAGAGGGCGTTGCTGCTGGGATGGGGGGAATGGGTGGAATGATGCAAGACCTGGCTTTTGCGGTATGATAACTGCATGATTTTGACACTGCTCTGACTACAATAGATCCCGGGTATTGACGAGGCCATGTCTTTTGCTGAAGTCTTGAAACAAGTGAAATCTCTCTCTCACGACACAATAATTTTTGATACTGCTCCGACTGGGCATACTCTTCGCTTTCTCCAGTTCCCAACCGTGCTAGAAAAGGCATTGGCTAAAATTTCCCAACTTTCCTCTCAATTCGGTCCCATGTTAAACGGTTTATTCGGAGCAAGTGGTACTTTACCAAATGGAGCGAACCTCGGTGAAATGATGGAAAAGCTTGAAGGGTTACGCGACACTATTGGTGAAGTTAACACACAGTTTAAGGACGAAAATCTCACTACATTTGTGTGCGTTTGCATACCCGAATTTCTTTCTCTATATGAAACCGAGCGGATGATACAAGAGCTTGCGAGCTACGACATTGATACACACTGTATCGTCGTCAACCAACTACTATTTCCGAAAGCAGAAAGTGAATGTGAGCAATGCAACGCCAGAAGAAAAATGCAAAAAAAGTACTTGGAGCAAATTGAGGAGCTCTACGATGAATTTAATGTTGTAAAGATGCCTCTTTTAGTCGAGGAGGTTAGGGGGAAGGAACGATTGGAAAAGTTTAGTGAGATGTTGATTACTCCTTATGTACCTCCTACAGGGGGTCTGTAGGCTTCACACCAATTGAATTTGCTATGGATCGGAATCCGCAAGAAAAGCATGGAAAATTTTTAGCTTGGAATGCTGCAGCACATTGTTTGAAGTAATGGGCTCAGGCTGCCTATATAACGTGCGAAATTCAATGATATTATGAGGCTAGACTTTTACACGTACGTTGTTCAACTTGGAATCAGACAGAGATTGTTCATAATTTAACGAAGCATGAGTTGGCGACTTGGTCAACAGACGATATTTCACAACGCAACGACTGACAATATATAAGAGCATCATGGGCCAGAAATAGATTAGCCTATCTTCCTATTTTAATTAGTCATCACAAGGCGCACGAGCTAGATCATAATCTAGCTATAGTCCTGTTCGGGTTAGGTATATTCTTTTGAGATTAGCCAAGGTACAATGGGAACCAGACATATGCAGCCTGTCAATCGTACAATTGAAATTTTGTCTACTTCAGTGTGGGAATGGTGAACTATAGTTGGCTGCTTTTGATGATGGACATGTGGAATCTCTGAAGCAAGTACTGGCTGGGTTGTGAGGAAGCCTCACTTTGATAAATGATTATGGGTTCAATTTTAATTTTGATTCCAGCATATTTCCAGTACATATCTTGTAAAGTTAGACGAAGACTGAATGTCTGCCAAAAGTGTCCTAAAAAGTTCATGGTGTGCCCAGCTATGTAGCTTTGACGCGTTTATATAATTATAGCCCCTAACTCCAGACAAATTTTTAACCCTTCGACTTAGAGAAGTTGCCAATGAAGCATCCTGATTTGAATACCTTGTGCGCTGTCATGCGCTTGGATGTGTCGAAATACTTTGATACCGCTCCCCTCCCCTACTTGGTGGAAGTAAGTTCGGGGGCGATCTTGGCTCTAGGCCCTGAATACATTTTTCTTTAATCTCTGGACTTTGGAAAATGAGCAACAAGTGCCGCACATTTTTCCTTGCCACGCGCAAAATTTGCACACATCGTGACCAGGCCGACCCTCAAGCTCTCCGCTCAAAGTCTTGCCTGATAGACAACTTTTTCCGTCTCTATGCGGTTTCCCTTGGATGTGAAAATCTTCAAAGAAAATTGGGATGGTTCGTCTGGGCCTGTAGAATTTCCGCCTTTCTCCTCCTGCCAGAGCTCTAGGCCCCAAAATCAGCAGCTTCTCTTTGACCCAACGCGTCTTCCTAGTCCTGGGGCCATGATAATCTTCTCTGGATCGTTTCAAGTTGACCAAATGCCTGTAGGCAGTAATGCCTTTTACTAAGCCGAGGGTGAACTTGGTCTACGAGGCGAAATTGAGTTTCAATCTTCCGACGGCATGGCGATCGAGAAGAGTGGCGCTTGCATGTTTTTGGCCAAGCAAGTGATCTGCAAACATTTTATGACTTCGGAATCCAGATATTCCCCACCACATTGGCTGAGGTGCGAGATGCAAATAGGCTAAAATCTACCTAGGGTACGTACTAAAAATGACTGACACCAATTATATTCCCAAATCTCACCGGGTGATGGTTCACATCAATTCAGCCTGGGAACCTTTCCAGATTAATCATCACCAAACGAAGCGCCCGAAATATCAATTTAAATTGTAATGAGACATGTAAACATCTACAATGGCAGCGCGCCGTGAAGGCAGAATCGAAGTGGTGACACCAAGTACTTTACACATTGACCGGGATATCACCGATTCGACCTACTACTGATAGGCACAAAATTTCCTAGCCTGCAGTTGGAGCTCTCTAGAAGGCTGGGATATTAATACCCAAGTAAAGATCTCTTGCGCATATCTGACATCCTCGGCTCTAATTGTGGCAGCAATGAGGCTAGACCGAGCGTCGCACCGTCTTTCATGGCATGAGCCAAGACCAGGGTGGAATCTGATTTGGTCCAGTCATTCAATGGTGACGAGGCTCACTTACACATCGTCGTGGACCTTATCCAGCCCAGCCGCCATCGTGCTCGAGCGACTCGGATCGCATGGGCTGCCAATTTTCTAGCACGTCGATACACAAAGGTATATACATGAATTTGGCTTGATTTAACACACGTGCCGCTGATAGACTCAATACTTGGTGCGTATCTATGCACCACGTTCCCGGCCACCTTGATCAATATACATGTGTCTTTCGCGATTCGCAAATGTGCGACGCTGACATTTCTTGATCACCGTAATTCGTTGTGAGATGTATCTATGTTCATGAGAACACACGACGATTACGTGCAGTTACGGCGGCCTCGTGTGGCTGATGCGAGAGTGTGGTTGCCACAGCAACAACGGCCTCACCTGCTCTACAGACAATGAAAGCGCAGATGGAGAAGGGTATGGATGGGCCTATTCATTTCTGCTGTCTCAGTTTGTGGAGGATATCTTCGCCTGGCTGGAGAGAAAAGATATAGCAGACGGGAAGGCTGCGTAATCGAGGTAGTTTGGACGAACGATAACTGACGTATTGGCGTGACGCGGGCAACGCGATCGACGCGTAAACATATGTCGTCACTCCGCGGCTACTCGAGCTATGTACAGTGCGAAGACACTTCGTCCTTTCCATCCATCCCAGATACCTCTCCATCGCACCCGCCCTTGCTTAAGCTATTCTTCTGTGTTCATCATGCCTTCTGTAGCCTCAACAAGAGCGCGCCGCTCGCGGCCAGGCCTAGCTGCCCCACGCCGTCTCTCTGTCTTCACTGTCTCCAAGGCAGGCACAACGACGTCGCCCTCCCCTCGAAAGAGGCTATCTCCCTCAAGCATCAAGATCGTCTCCCCTCGAAAGAGGCTATCTCCCTCAAGCATCAAGATCGTCTCCCCTCGAAAGAGGCTATCTCCCTCAAGCATCAAGATCGTCTCCCATCGCTCTCCACCCCGTAAACGCAAATTTGCTCATGTCGAGCCATCTACTCCGTCACCGAGCTGTCCAGCACGCAAAACTCGTCGCCCACTGGCACGGTCGAAGCTTCCAAAGACACCGCCTGCTCGCTCTTTCACGCCTAAGCCGCGGGAATCTTCCATCAAAACTGCCCGTCAGCTCCTCGAAACTCTCAGCATCTCGACACCTGCCAATACTAAAGCTGGCAAACATCCTAATCTGGGTGTGCCTGCAAGTGATCATGACTTGCAACTACTCAATCTACCACCTGAGGTTATGGAACTCGTGTACATCCATTCTGCCTTCCTAACAGCTTGGTCAATACACACAGCCCACCATGGGACACACACACCAGCCGACCTGCGTAATCTCTGTCAGGATATGACCAGAATTTGGGGCATCCGTGAAGTGACAAGCTGTGATTTGCAACGTGTACTCGCCCTCGTCAACGCCGGTGCCATACAAATTACAGCCCCTACAGGGGATCCACCACGAATAGTCATCTCTAATTATGATCATGGTAAAATTTGTGTTGAGATTGCTGAGCCACGCCGTACTTCTGGTCACACAACTTCAATGCGATATTTTCCGTTGCGTACTGAACTTAAATATGGTACCTACGTAGCAGCACTAATTAGAGCGTGGAACGCCCGAGATCCCGATCTAGACGGGCCAGGCTTCGTTGAAAGTCTGTCTCTAGAACCCATTGTACGCGCTTCTGCTGTTTCTCTGCACATGTCACCTCTTCTCGCCAAAGGCCAACGCCGTCTTGAAAGCATACGTGCAACCATGGCGGCGCCAAAAGCAACACCCGAACGCCGTGAGGAAGGGTCGACGCTTCTCGAGCGACTTCGCGCCAAAGAACTCCGTCAACTTACATTGAGGCCGCCACCATCCCCGCGGCAAATCGCACGCCGGGCGGCTCTAGATCGAGTTGAAGCAATCGCTGCCGTAATTACGGTGCTTAGTACATCAGGATCCACAGGCCAGCAGAGAGTATCTTTCACACTGCCAACGGTGCTTGAAAGGCTCAAAGACACGCTAAAGACGTCCAAAATTGAGGGTGAAAACTGTATCAGTGTCATGTCGAAGGAGATTGCGCCAGATTGGGTCAAAATGGTGAAAATTGGGAAGACACAGGCAGTGGTTGTGGATAGAGACGCGAGACTGAGTGATTCTGAGATGCGAGATCGCGTGCGGAAGGCGTTGCTGAAATGAGTCTTTTGTCATACAAATTGTTTTTGATTAATAATTGCAACGATACCCACGGCTTTATGCTAGGCAAACATGGTTTGGAGATACAACGAATTCCCTAGGGGCGTTTTCCTTACAAAATAAATTACTACATTGTCTCTTATCGTCCCACTCCGCTCCGTTAAAAAGCAGCTCGCCGTATCCTGCTCCCCCTGAATTTTTCGGTTTTGTATATATGCTTCTGTGACTACTTTTTCTTTGAACCGAATCGTGGTGCACCTATGTCACTGCCACGTAACTTGATGCCTAGAACCTTTTCCATGTTGGCCAAGATTTTCTGATCTGGAGCAGCGGTACCGCGCTCAAATTCGGCAACGATACTTTGCGTTGTATTGCACTTTGTAGCCAAGTCTCGCTGCGTCATTTTGGGTTCGATCTTTTGACGCCGCTCGCTAATAGCGGAGCCAACTTCTTTCCCAACAGTGTTAGGTTTGACAATGTCATCGCTGCGGTCAACCTTGGTCAGGTGTTGTCCTTCGACGCCGGGTTTCGAGGCCTGCCCGGAGTCAGTATGACAAGTATAAATAGAAATAGGTGATGGAACAAGGACTACCGACCAGATTTCCTGCGGTAAACTTTTTTTCGGTACCGATGACGGAACCGGTACGTTGAGCAGCATTAAGGGCGGCCTTGCCGCGAACAACAGTCTCGCGGATGGGTCCACTGCCGCGGGTCTTGCTCCCTATTTTGGTGACAGAATCCCAGTCATCCATGGTGAATGTTGTGAGTTGATTAGAGATAGAGTAACACACTGTTGGCGACAATGACTATTGTAAGTGAAGAGTGATGATGTTTCAAGGTCGTTGTCCGCGCAAATATCACGCAGGCGAAGAATGGTGGGGGGAGGGGCTAGGGCGAAGGAATATGCTGCCTGATGATTCATTGGACTCGTCAACTTCCCCACTCGCTTCCCTCGCAGCCGAGTTTTAGTTACTTTGGCTGTATGGTCAAGTCGTATTCTTTACAGCATGAACACCACCTTTTCCATCTCGTCCACCAAATCGAGGCCATTGAACCTACGCAGGAGAGCTAGAAGCTTTTCCTCATAGTGGGAAAAATTGGTTCTTATCTAGGCCAATTAGTCCTATCAGTTATTTTGCGCTTCTTACAGTGCCTGTGAATCTTCAACAGCTTAAAAAATATAATTTATCTTATTTTGCCAGCTTACTCAATCTTTGTCGCCCTGAGGATCCAAGATTGACAGACCTATAGATTAGTACGAGGCTCTGATAAATTGTAATGCTTCTGTAATGTTGTTCACGTTGGAGTCCGGGCGCAAGATAAGGAATACTGTACTTAAATAGACGATACCCTGTATTAATAGAAGACCAAGTTACATCTAGTCTTAAGCTCTACTATACATATTGGTAGTTTGGAGCCACAAGACACCCGTAATCTACGCCATCTTAAAGCTAAGCTTATCTCACTTTTCACACATACTAATCCATCAGGAACCTCAGCCCCATGGATCTCTCCTAGCATAGCACGGGCCTCGACTAACTCCTTGCATGTCTGTTTAATTCCAATAATGAAAGATGAGCAAGTGGCCATCCGGGAAATCGCTTGAATCACGAAATGCACGACTCAAGATTTTACGCAGAGACCAGCCACTTCATCGTTCGTGTGTTAGTCCAAGAAAAAACTCCGATCAACTTTCACTGCCCCAACATGCTTGCCTTCATCCTTCAAACCAGGCGCGTGACCATGACTATGGAGGGCAAGACTGAACACCTGTACGCGGTGTCCTCTACGAACCTGGGAGTGAAATATTCTCCCAGAGCCAAGTTCAGTCAAATTTCGCAATATCAAAGAAGTTGGCCCACGAGGCAAAAATCCAAATTACTCCTCCACGTCGTTATTTCGCTCCCAACGAGTTTGACTCCTATCTTCGTCTCATCGAGTCTACAAGTACGACCAAGTACATCCTCATTCCAATGACCACACCACTCTTCGACCTTCTCTGGCCTCAGCTGGTCACCAAATACACGCCCATGCCGATATTTATACCCGACGGAGGAAGCAAAGCGTGGCGCAAAAATCTGGGAGACAGTTCTTTGGGATGGACGTGAGAGGAATCAGGACAAGCTTACAAGATGATGCGGAGGAAGGATATAACCTCGAAGGGCGTGAGATTCCGAATTTTGGCAAGGAGTTTTACGAATTGAGCTTTGTGCGCGCCAAGACTTCGCTTGCGAGAGTGCAGCTGACACTATAAAAACATGCAAACGATGGAAGGTGTGGTGATCCGCCTCCTGGTGATGTTCTCTGGTATAGTTTGAGTAGCCTGGGCACCTACTCCACTTGGGAAGGAGACATCTCAGATTACATTTCGCGCGGAGAAAAGTTGATGGATGACGGAGGCATGTCTGGATAACTCAGGGTTTTTGAGATGTTCCCCTGAGTGGGTATTCACGGATGAGGGTTGACTTGGGGTGAAGAAAAAGCCACCATAACTTCGCAGTGGTACCTGCAAATGAAATCCGAGGCATGAGTGCTCTTCCTTTACGTTGAATCATCTATTCTGTACTTTTCTTTGATATTGTGTCATAGCTAGATAGCTGCATACGCAATTAAAATCTGATGCAAAAAAAAAAAAAAAAAAGTGACCATGACTATATCCTGCTGAATTTAGAACGGCTATCCCTTTAATCGAAAAAGGTAGTTGATTGTGTCTTCTAGAACCTACTAATACTAGTCTGCTTGGTATATGGTAGCACAACCTGGCCTATTAACTCGGATGCTTCCGCTTCAAGTAAAAGCATCATGGAATTGCATTATGAGACGAGCCGATGATGTAATACTTTGGTCCCATGAATAAAGTGAACAGCTAGAATCAGTAACGGAGATTCAATAGCTTCCATCAGTGTTTCCTGTACACCCCCAGCTCTTAAATGCAAGTCTACATAGCCCACATCGAGTCACACCCTTTGTTTGGCTAATGAGTTTGTAATTCTCGTTTTTGATAAATTGAAACTGATAGTTCATTATAATGACAAGTACGATAACTGGAGAAGCGGAATAAGATGAGGGATTAGGTGATGTTTATCGCTAGAACAGTATTTTGAAGGACCTTCATCAAACCCAAACACATCACCTATATTTTAATAATTAAGATGACACTGATGAAATAATTTATCTTACTAGAATTATTTGGAATGGGTGCTTCTTGCATTACGTTGAATTATTCTTGATTTGTGGATTCTGACACACGGGTAATGCTTTATCCGAATGTGAGATAGATGGCAATTCCATAGCTTCAAAACAATATTGCAGTACTAATAACCATGAATAACCATTTCTTCTCAACAACAGTGATGAAATTTCATGTTAGAATTCAGCTGACACTATAAACACAAGCTAAGGATGGAAGATGCTGTGGTCCGCCTGCTGGTGGTGTTATCCGGTATAGTCTGCGTAGCCTGGGCACCTACTCCACATAGGAAGGAGACGCCTGAGACAACATTTTGCGCGGAGAAAAGATAATTCATGATGGAAGCATGTCTGGATAACTCAGGGTTTTTTTAGACTGTTTGAAAAATACGAGGTAATACAAATCGGTTGCCGTCACGATGTCGGTGAATATAGTCAATTAACTGGCATCTCGAAATACATATAACGATGTCTCTTCTCTCCTATCTCTCTCCCCCCTTTCTTCTTCTACTCCAAGCGCATCGCTGATGAGTTAAGTCATATCCCTGTCAGTGTCCTAACGATAACCTGAACACCGCAATTACATAGAACAATTCATACTTCCCAATTATGATCCTTTTACCGACAGAGTCGTTTCCCTGGGTGGGTGTTCATGAATGAAGACTGACTTTAGATAAAAGAAAAGCCGCTATATTTTCGTAGTTGTATTTGCTAATGAAATCCGAGGCATGAGTGCTCTATATTTAATTTGAGTCATCTTTTCTGTACTTTTTCTCTGATGTTTTATATTTTATATTTTTTCTAAGTCCTAGGATATGCCCGTTTTCCCCTGAGGGTCAAAGACTGGGTTTTACAGCTAAGATCATATCTATGACATGCCCAACTTGTTCCCACCACGTGAACCACTACTCAAATTGTAGCCAGTTAAATTACATGCAGCCATATACAAAATAGAAATTACAACATAACTCCAGGCTCCAAAACTTTGAGCTCCAACTAAATATCAGCACTTGTGGTTGGGAAGCAAAACTTCTCGCCTTGTTCCCCTTCTGATCGAGTCATGTTACATGACTAATTTATATCGACCTCGCTGAGAGTAGAGGTCCAGCCAGCAGCTAATCACCCATAACATCGGGTTTTCTGTGCAAAGTTTTTGAATGCTTCGAGGCACTTGGGTCCGAGAATTTCATGTATGAAGTCGTCGTGGGACTTTAGACCTCGGATTCGATGTATTTCGTGAGAATAGAGCCGACAGTGGATAAAGTGGGTTGGGCTAGTCTCTTTCCCACACGCGCACTCACTAGCTGCGTCTGCATTGTTGAATCAGCGATGATAGGCCGCGAAATTGCCGTGTCCCGTACGGGCTCGATTATTTCGTGGAGTAGATGCCTTGATAGAGCCAGCTCTGGCGGCTTGCGCCGTTTCATGAGCAGATCTAGCTTTCGATACCGAACAGGGCACGCTTTATCCCACCAATCGTTGAACAAAGCCTGCAGCCGGCTATACATGAGACGGCGAAGATATGCTAACTAAATAGATACTGGTTGGTTGTCCGGACTGGGCAGCATTCGTAAGCCGAGGCGCGCAGTAGCGTCTGCTTCTTCGTTTCCTTGTATTCCAGAGTGACCGGGGATCCACTTAATCGTTACAGCAGCTGACGCTGAGAGTATGCGAAACTGAAGTACCTCTTCGAGGCTGGTTGAAGAGATGCCCGTCTCAAATGCTTTTACAGCATGTTGACTATCCAGAAAAACATTCACTCGCCGAATCGTCTCCCCCAGCTGCTGTTGCGCTTCTTTCATTCTCAGCGCCGCCTCAAGAGCCTTCAGCGTTCCTGTTATTTTTGCGTCCAAGACCTCTCCTCCGTGTCGGATACCATTCTCCTTGAGAAGAGTTTTACCATATCTCTTCAAAACAAAACCCCAAGCTGAACGTCCGTTTCCCTCCGAAGAGCAGTCTGAGTAGGCGCAAATTTCCGATGCGGGCACGTTGTCTCTCCAAAGTTTGCCCGCTTCTTTTCCTTCTCACTCTGATATAGACCTGGCAGGGTAGAATGACAGCGGCAAAGGCGTCGAAGCTTTTGCTTCCGGAAGTTGTCGAAAAGCTTGTTGTGCACGAGTTCTTTGTCTATCTACATGATCAAATCCTCGTGGATTCTTCTTGTACTTTCGAGTCCCAACGTTTGGGCACATCGCAGCACGAGATTCCAGTGGGTACCCATCATCGAGAGTTTTTATTCTGGCTGAAAATCGTAGTCGGTTTCCCTCTAGAATAATATTTACGGGAGGGATTCCTCCTTCCCTGTGCAGGTCCACATTAGGAGTAGTCCGCAGAACTGGAAGTGCAAATCGGAGACCCATCATGCTGGCCTTGTCGATCATAGTACAGAGGCTAGCACTAGCTGGCGTGGCTATTCCTGCTCTTGTTGGGCGTTTGAGGCCGGGCCACTAGACTTCCGCACCAAATGTCGCGATTGAAATAGTACAACTGTTTGCTGCTCGTATCAGCGCTCCTGGTGCGGCTCCTCGAAAAGTAGAATTGAAACGTCGCATAAGATGTGCGA